GGACTGGCCTCTATATGGGATCCGAACCCTCGGCGGGAGGGCCGCCGTGCTCCCAAGCGCCTCACTCTACCAAGTGTGCCACCGGGCCGGCCTCTGGTAAGGGGATCTTAACCCTTGACTTGGTGTTGTCAGCACCACGCTCAGCCAGTGAGCGAACTGGCCATCCCTATATGGGATCCAAACCCGGGGCCTTGGTGTTATCAGCACCGCACTCTCCTGAGTGAGCCACGGGCCGGCCCAAGTTTCTTTTATTTTTTGACAGCTGGCCAATATGGGGATCTGACCCTTAACCTTGGTGTTATAACACTGCGCTCTAACCAAGTGAGCTGAATGGCCAGCCACAGTCTCTGTGGCTTTAAATGCCCCCCCACCACCACCACCCAAATGCCCAGGTCCTCCACCCTAATCTCCCACCTCATATACCCAACTGTTTACTGATCATTTCCTCTTGATGTGTAACAGGCAGCTTAAATAGATGTCCAGAACTGAAATCTCAAGTACTCCATCCAAACCTCACTTTCTTCCAGGCGTTTCTGTCTCTTGCCCTTCCCCCTCAACATCCAATCTGTCGACAAACCCTGCTGACTCCACTTCCAAAACACACTAGCACCCAACCACTCATAACCTCCATCCTCCCTGAGTGCCCATCCAGGACTTGCCTGTACCAGTGCAGTCACAGGAGCTCTGGGGCCATCTGCTGAATGCAGCCCCCAGCCCAGCCCCTTCCCTTGCCCAGATAAATCTGGGCCAAAAATGCCCATCAATGGGCACAAATTCTAAATGTTCTCCTTTAAGGAGAAGGCCTCCTGCAGGCGGGGCCTGCCAAACCTTACTCCCAGGGATGCCCAGCAGCTCGGCCTGGGCCTTTGTCATCATTTCACCTCCACTTGGTGAGAGCTAAGAAGACTAAGCCTCCGTTACTATTACAGCTAAACGACTATTACAACCACCAAGTTCAGGGTTATGTTCTCTCTCTCTCTCTGACACGCACACACACACACATGCACATACACACACCTGCCAACCAGAAACTTACCTGATTCCAAGTAGCAAAGTTGACTTTATCAGCTGCATTGAAAGCCATTATGTTATACTTCTTGGTGGTGTTCCTGGAGTGGGCAAGAAAAAGCAGTGCTGATTCAATCAATCATACATTCAACAGACCAACCCTAGTTCAGCCCTTTGTGCTGGGCAAAGCTAGGGATCATAACAGGCTCTGGAAGTTCCCAGTCTGTCAGAGAAGCAGATCCATCCTCTCCCAACCCCATGTAGAGGAGGAGCAGAAGGAGGGACAAAGACTTGGGGGAAACACAAGATGTGGAGATAATGGAGAACTCAGGTTTGGGGAAGAGGCAAGGCATGCAGAGAGTGCTTCCTGGAGGAGGAAAATATTGGAACGGGGTTTTGCAGGACAGACAAGAATCCACCCAGGGGAGTCACAATTGTAGGGAGAAAAGTATCCCCGACAAAGGCAGCAGCACGTACAAAGGCCTGGAAAGGAAAGAAAGCTTGGGCAGTTTGAAACAGGACAAAAAATATGCCCTACTGCTAGAGTCTGGGCAACATGGGATCATAAAGGCCTTGATGCCAGGCCAGGGGGCTGAATCGTGCTGTGTATTAATGCACTCATCCATTCATCCATTCATAAAACAGTGATACCCCCTGAGAGGCCTCAGCTTAACCCTCCAGTCGCTCCCGGTACGGAGGGAGAATCACAGGCGAGGCCAGAAACGCCGAGAAGCCCGTGAAGGTTTTAACTCCTTTTTACGGGGGAGTGGGAGATGGGGCCAGGGACTTACTTAGGGACTCGAACGACGTACTCGGTGACATTCTGGTTGCCGGGGCCCTGAGGAGAGAGAAAACGGGATGGTGAGTGAGGGGCTGCGGAGGCCGCCGCAGGGACCCCCGAACCCCGCCTCATTCATACTCACTAGGGCTGCCATGGGCAATGGTCGGTGGTTCGGGTCCGATCCGACCCGGATTCTTTTCGTCTTCCCTTAAGTCTGCGTCCCGCTGTCCCGAGAACGCCGCACTCTCTATGTCGCCTCTCTGGCCCTGAGCGAGGACTCCAAACCACAGACACCGCGGACCCTGGGAAAGCTACCCGGAAGCGGCGCTCGGCTCCATCTGCGCCTGCGCTGCCACATAACCCGGAAGTGAAAGTCTTCCGCGGGCCACGTCGCGATGGCAACCTCCCTGGAGGTTGTGGGTCTTCAACGCGCTGTCACTTATGTTCCCCATCTTGCCTCATTTCGGGCGCGGCAAACCCCGGACGTGTCTGAGATAAACGAACCGCTTCCTGTCGCTGGCGCGCTCTTCTAGGGGACCGTTCCTTTAATCACGACATGTGGGAACGCCTTCCTCCCTGACGTCACACTCAGGGATCGCGGCGCAATCTGGGTAGGGAGGAAGGAAACGATCCCTCCTTGTGGGCTCCCAGGCGCTTTGCGCATGCGTTACCTCGCTCCGGAAGTGAGTGCGAGGAGGCCGCGTCACCATAGCGACCGAAGCCTACTTTGTCGGGTGTAGCCGCCGCCTGGCTCCCCCTGGGTCTGTTTGGGGTTTATTTCCTCCTCCTGCCCCGGGTTGGGGAACCCCATCATCCTGCCAAATGATCTGGGCGGGGACCCTTGTGACGTTGAGCCGAGCCAGGAGGGGTCAGGGCCTGGGTGGAGATGGGGCGCGACCACCCGAAGGGCTGCAGGCGGGATGGGTCTCTGCAAGTCCAAGCTGCCCCACATGGGCCGGCCCCTGAGGCCCCAGGAGAAGGGTAACACTGCGGGGGAAGGTGGCATACTGGGGGGAAGGGAAGGAGGCTGTGGACGACAGGAGGGAGGTGCAGGTACCCAACCCCCCGATTCAGGTGTGCACACGCCCCCGCATCAGGGCAGTAACACAACTGCGCGTGCTCATGGCTTACTCATATTGATCCACTTCGTAAATCCTTGAGCGCCTGCTCGGTTCTGGGTCCTCATGGGTGAATCTGTCAAACCAGCTCCGTGTCCTCTTGGAGATTATAGTGTGGTGGAGAACAGACTCAGAAAATAGAATCTTCAACCCAGGAGGGGATGGGGGAAGCTCAGCAGGCTGGGAGGGCTCAGTGAAAAGGGGAGGTTTCAGCTGGGCCCTGAGGGATGCATAGGAGTTGGCTAAGCAAAAGGGAGGGAAGCAAGACACAGAAATTGGACCATAAAATAGAAAATAAAAACAACGACAAAATTGGGCTATAAACTACAGACTGCATAGATATATCTGGTAGCCTTGGGCATTCATTTATTCCTCATTCACTGCTAGATGTCAGGAACTGTGCCAATTATTAGGAAAATTGGGGTGAGCGTGACAGGAATAGTCCTCGCCCTCGTGGAGTACAGAGTCTGGCTGGGGAGACAAGAATAAGTAAATGAGGATGGCTGGTTAGCTCAGTTGGTTAGAGCATGATGCTGATAACAGCACAATCCAGGGTTCCATTCTTGTACCAGCTGCCAAAAATATATATATAATAATAATAACTAAACAAAATCAGGACTGATGGTGACCATTGCTTTGGAGGAAATGGGGTTCTGAGACAGGTAGTGATGGGGTGGGAAGCTCATTAACAAGAGGTCAGAGAAGACCTGATGGGTGAGCTGGGCAGAAAGAACTGGGGAAGGCAGAGGTTTTCCAGGTAGAGGCTACAGAAAGAGATGAGTTTGGCAAGTTCAGGGAACAGAAAGAGGGCCCCTGAGGCTGGGACAGAGTGAAGGAAGGAGAGGGTGGTATGGGATAAGCCTGAGGGCATGGGCAAGTCCCTGCCCCTCGCTGAGCCTCAGTTTCTTCAGCCTCAGTAAAATGGGATGATAGAGTCACTGTGATGCTTCAAGGAGATGCTGTGTGCATCAAACTGCTCCAGATCACATCTTCATCCACGGCAACTACAGCAGCACCAACGCACAACACGTGGCTATACCATTGGGCACTGTGTCCCGGGAGCCCCACATCTGAAAGGGCACTCATGTAGTGTTCGCCTATTCCAAAGAAACTCACCCAGTATTGCCGTAGGTAGAGACATCGGTGTATTAGTCTTATGGGAGGTGCTGATGGTGGCCGGTCAGCTAGAAATCTGCACCGCCATGGGGTACATACAAGAATTATATAGTGAATAGGCCGGCCCGTGGCTCACTCGGGAGAGTGCGGTGCTGACAACACCAAGGCCACGGGTTCGGATCCTATATGGAGATGTCCGGTTTGCTCACTGGCTGAGCGTGGTGCTGACAACACCAAGCCAAGGGTTGAGATCCCCTTACCGGTCATCTTTTTAAAAAAAAATAATAATAAATAAGAATTATATAGTGAATAGGCCGGCCCGTGGCTCACTCGGGAGAGTGCGGTGCTGACAACACCAAGCCAAGGGTTGAGATCCCCTTACCGGTCATCTTTTTAAAAAAAAATAATAATAAATAAGAATTATATAGTGAATAGATCAAAATAGGGGTGTAAATCACTTGCGTGCTTATGTGCCCCTCACCCAACTCAGAGCTCGTGGGAGATACGGCTGAGTAGATAAGTCAACTTACTTGTTACCCTCCTGGCTCCAGAGTAGTTTAACATTAGTGTGCTAACTACATTTACATGCTAATTAATTTACCCAGGGCTCCTGCTTCCTACTATTTTCCATTCGTCTCAAAGGAGACAGTGCCTTTCCTTGGGTAAACTACATTAGCCAGAGGTAGTTTCCCAGGGAGGAGGGGGAAATAGGTCTATGTCCCGCATTTACCTTACAGATACATGCTCCCAGATGCCACCCTCGGGCAAAAGAGGGTATGCAAAGAGACCTGTGTCCAGTGTCACCTAAGGACATGCACTAACCTGTGTGGACACAATCCCATCAGTGCCTGCCAGACCCCTATGGCCCCTAACCCAACTCCCTCCCTCTTCCCTGGACACCACAGACATCCTCAAGTCCCCCCTGATCATCTTCGTGATGGGTGGCCCAGGCTGTGGCAAAGGGACGCAGTGCAAGAATATGGCAACCAAGTATGGCTTCTGCCATGTGGGGCTGGGTCAGCTGCTGCGGCAAGAGGCTCAAAGGGGCACCCAGAGGGGCCGGCAGATCCGCGACATCATGCTTCAGGGGCTCCTGGTGCCCACGGTGAGTGCTCACAGTTGGGGGGTGAAGGAGGAAGAGGGTATGTCGGGACAGACTTCCCGGGAAGGCCCCACAGGAGCCGATGGACCTGGAAGGCCAGCCCCCAGCTTGGCTACCGCCCGGCTGCCACACAGAGCCTCCATTTATCTGTGAAGTGGGGAAACCAAAGCTGGCCGGTCAGCTCACTTGGTTAGAGTGCGGTGCTCATAACACCACAGTCAAGGATTCAGATTCCCATACCAACCAGCCGTCAAAATAAATACAAATAAAGTGGGAGACCACATCAAAAGGTTGTAGTGAGGGCCGGATGACATCATCCCTACAAAGCCCTTAGCAGAATGCTGGAATCACTCAATAAAATCAGCTACTATTTATCCCATTTGCGACCCATCAAGTATTACTGGCCTCTTCTGATGTTGTTTCCTCACCTATAAAATGAAGGGACCCCCAGGACCTAACTTGTAACACTGTGGTGATGATTAAATGACACCCAGAAAGCCTGGCACCTGGCAGATGCCCACCCAATAAACGGTGGGCATGCCCAGTTCTCAGAAGTGGTCTCCCCGGGGCATCAGAGCAGACTCAGAATCCAGGGTGCTGGGTAGGGCAGTGTCACCCAGGCTTCCCCTAAGGTCCGGTCTAAGGAACAGAACTTGCCAAGGTGACCTGCATGCGTACTGGTCTCTCCGGGGTGAGGGGTGGGAAAGAGAGGGGGGCCCAGGCACTGAATCCACCCCTTTCCTTCCCAGGGCATCATCCTGGACATAGTCAGTGACAACATGTTGTCCCGCCCGGACAGCCGGGGCTTCCTCATCGACGGCTTCCCCCGGGAGCTGAAGCAAGCCAAGGAGTTCGAGCGCATTGTGAGTGACCTCAGTGTGTCTGTGTGTCAGTGTACGTGTGTGTGTGTGTGTGTGTGTGTGTGTGTGTGTGTGTGTGTGTGTAGGTGTGAGGCTGTTCCTCCTGGAGTAAGGCTGAGACTTGGGGGAGAGTGGATGAGGACAGAGAAATGGAGTTTCTTATTATCAAGGGGCAGTCAGGTTGTTGGAAGCCTCTAGAATGTTGGGCCAGGAACTAGCGAGCTCTCCAAGGCCAGGGAGGGAGTCATTTCAGTACCTGCCCGCCCAGTTCCAGGCACCTGCAGGATGAACTATTTACCCACTGAGTAGCAGGTGGGGTTAGCATCTTCCCCAGGCCACAAAGAGGGAATATATAGTTCATTCACTGATTTATTCAACCACCTGTCCCTGAATAGTTCTTGAGCACGAGCCTTCTCCTCGGGGCTGGGGATGCGGAGTCCACAAGACAGACAGTCCCTGTTCTTAAGATGCCCATATCCGAATGATGAAGACAGAGCAATCAATACCCGATGTGCAAAACAGAATAACGAAATTTCTGGTAGTGGTTAAGTGTGACGAAGAACAGAAAACAGAAACAGAAAACAGAACGGGACTGGGCTATTTCGGTTTGGGTGGTGCGGGTGTGGCCCCCCTGAAGCGGGGACATCAGAGAAACAGCTGAGTGACGGAGGAGGAGCCAGCGTGGGGCAAGTGAGAGTGAATTTCTCCAGGTTATTTTTCCATGTCAGTGCAGATTTATGGAGGGACCCATCTGAGCACCTGAACAGTGATGATACTGTGGACTGTAGCATGGGGGATCATTTCAACTCAGTTTAGAAATAGTTAAGCAGGAAAGGAGAAACTGCTGGGCAAGCTCTAGGCTTTTCTGGGACTTGCTGGGCTTTGATGGAATCAAGGTGGGGGGTGGGACTGGAACAGCTGTCACCGGGGTGGGTGGGGACCTGCCTTTGCTCTCACCTCCATTGGAGTAATTATGTAGGCTCATTGCAATGAAGTTACATTGCAAATAATAGCTCCTTCTCCAGACGGGAGTTCTACGAGGGCAAAGGCCAGGCTGATTCGTTTCTCTGCCCGCCTCCACCCCAGGCTAGCACCTGGCCTAAAGTCATAAGTGCCATAAGTGCCAGCCGAATGGACTCTGCAAGTGACAGCAAAGTGTCACAACAGAGGCCACACGCCCTGACCCTCGGGTCCCCTTTTGTCCACTGATGTGTTCCGTTTGGGTCATACAGTGTTTTGCATTTTCTTTTTCGAATCTGTGGAAACGGGGAGCTTCCACATCAAAACTCCCAGCTTCTCTGGAAAACCCACTGACTTGGCAACGCAGGCCTGCACGTCCCCATGGCAACAGCAGTGTGAACGCTTCCTGAGCTTTTTACCGAGCCCAACACTGTTCTCAGCACTGCACAGATGAACTCATCTTCCGGAACATTCCAGGCGTTTGCACTATTAGCATCCCGATTTTGTGCAGAGGGATCAGGGAGTTTGTCCGGGTGATGGGGGCAGAATTGATGCCCAGCAGTCCCACTCCCAAGGCCCCGATTTTAACCCCTCCACCCTGTGACCGTCAGTGGGGCGTGCCTTCTCTGCTTTGCCAGGTACCCCCCACACCTAGCTCCCCTCTCCACCACAGAGTCTGAGCATCACCTGCATGAAGACATGGCTGTGCTATAGGCCAAATGTGTCCCCCAAAGTTCATGTATTGGAAACTGGATCCCCATTGGTTTTTCTTCTTCTTTTTGGCAGCTGGCCTGTATGGGATCCGAACCTTTGACCTTGGTGTTACAAGGTGGGCATGAGTAAATTAACTAGCATGTAAATGTAGTCAGCATACTAATGTTAAAATACTCTGGAGGGGCCGGCCAGTGGCTCATTTGGGAGAGTGCGGTGCTGATAACACCAAGGCCATGGGTTCGGATCCCATATAGGGATGGTCGGTTAGCTCACTGGCTGAGCGTGGTGCTGACAACACCAAGTCAAGGGTTAAGATCCCCTTACCAGTCATCTTCAAAAAAAAAAAAAAAACTCTGGAGCCAGGAGGGTAACAAGTAAGTTGACTTATCTACTCACCCACATCTCCCATGAGCAGCTGGCTGGTAGTGGGATCTGAATAAAAACTTTTTATTAATTATAGACTCACAGGAAATTGCAAAGATAGTAGACAAGTCCTGTGGTACCCTTCACCCAGCTCCCCACAATGGCAACATCCTATCTGACAGTCATCCAACATCAAAACCAGGCAGTTGACATTGATATGTATTTATTTTTACTGTTACCTCCATGGCAAGAGACATTGAAAGTAGAAAAAGGAAGTTGATGGAATTATATGTCTTTTTTGGGGGTAGAGGGGTGGAAATGCCTGGCCGGTATAGGGATCTGAACCCATGACCTTGGTATTATCAGCATTGTGCTCTACAAAGTGGGCTAACTGGCCAGCCCCCGAAGTCTTAAATACTGGCAATAAGCAGATACAGGAAACACTGACTGAAGTCAATCAATGACTTTACCTGGAAAAGCCTCAGGCTAGGAAGCATGGGACAGACTAACGACACCCACCCTATAGTCACTGCCCTTATTGGGAGACAGAAGGTCTGTGGCTTCTTTGTGTGCCCCATGCTCCCTCAGTGGAAAAGCCAGCGAGGAAACCTGTCACATGTTTGTGATGAAAACTTTCAAACCTGTACAGAAATGGAACCGTAGAAGGAATCCCCCACACCCAGGCAGAACCATTACCATGGTTTGACCACACACTGGCTGTATCTCTGCCCAAACCTCATGTTGTGATTGCCAATTATGCATTTTAAAGCATATCCTGGATCCCATTACAGGCGTTTCCTTACCCAGCCACAACGCCATCACCACATCCCAGATGATTAACATTAATTTCTTTTTGGGGGGCAGCTGGCCAGTAGGGGGATCTGAAACCCGTGGTGCCCTTTGGCATTACGAGGCTGCCTTCTAACCAACTGAGCCATCCGGCCAGACTCGAACATTCATTTCTTGATACCATTTAATGTTGAGTCCACATTCACAGTTCCTCAGTAACTGAAAAAAATGTTTCTTTAATGTTTTTGGTTAGCTCAGATAGAGCACAGCCTTATAACACTAAGAGCACGGGTTCTGATCCCTGTACCCATGTTTGGGATTTCATAGTATCATTTAATTTTTCCTCTATCCCTCATTTTCCCTGCACATTGAAAGTTAACTGCAGGCTTACATAGACTTTGGTTCAACATGGGTTTTTTTTCATCCATAAATATTTTATTGAGTATATATTTCTTTTCTTTTCTTGGCGGCTGGCCAGTATGGGGGATCCCGGACCCTTGACCTTGGTGTTATCAGCACCACGCTCTACCGATAGAGCTAACTGGCCAGCCCTATTTAGTATATAGTTCTAAAAGATGAAGACTTTTGGGCCGGCCCGTGGCTCACTCAGTAGAGTGCGGTGCTAATAACACCAAGGCCACGGGTTCGGATCCCATATAGGGATGGCCGGTTAGCTCACTGGGTGAGCGTGGTGCTGACAACACCAAGTCAAGGGTTGAGATCCCCTTACCGGTCATCTTTTTAAAAAAAAATAAATAAATAAATAAAAAAGAATAAAAGATGAAGACTTTTGTATAATCATAGCACTTCCGTGATCACACTGTAATATCCTTTTTTTTGTCTCTATATTTTTTACACTGTAACATCATCAAATCACTGATCGACATTCAAACTTCCATGAATAACTCAAAATCTGTTTTCTTTTTACATCTTGTTTTTTTTTTTGTATTTTTCCGTGTCTGGCAACGGATCGCAACCCTCAGTGTTGCCCCCGTACCGGACCGGGACCAGCAACGGGATTGCAACCCTCGGTGTTGCTCCCGCACCTCGCTCAGCCAGTGAGCGGGAGCCGGTCTGTATGTGGGATCTGAACCCTCGGGCGGAAGCGCCGCCGTGCTTCCCAAGCGGCGCACTATCCAGTGCGCCACCGGGCCGGCCCTTTACATCTTGTTTTAATCAGGATTCATATATGGTGGACCCACTGCAATTGCATGATGTTTCTTGTTTCTTTTTATCTATAGGTGCACCTTCTCTATTTTTTTCTTGCATTTATTTCTCGAAGAAACCAGGTCTTTGGTTCATTTTAGTTCCACAAAGCGTGCATTTTGTTGATTGCGAAGCATTTTAAAATATGTCCCACTCTCTATAATTCCTGTAAATTGGTAAATGTGTTGGGGCTCAGGTTCACTTTTTTCTTTGTACTTCATAGGTGGTGGTATGAAGTTCTACCAGGAAGCACCTAACGTTTCTGTCTGTTTGCAATGGTCACTGTATTTTTCAAATGTGTTACATATGTAAGAGAAGTCAGGTCCTTGAATGTTCACTGGGGCCCAAGAAGGTGGTCTTGACAAAGTGGGAAAAACAGAATATGTGCTGTTCTTGCCGAGTTCTTTCTCTGTTGAATTCTGATGATGCTGTGGCTATCATGTTCTGTCTGTCCCTGAACGGTTTGCTTCCTCAGGTGCTTGATGAATGAATGAATCAGCATAAACTTGGGACAGAGCGCCGTGACTCAATACGCCTTTGTTTTGCATTATTTCAGGAGGCTCCTAGATGCCTGGTTGCCCCAGTCTTAGTAAAGAGCTTGTTATAGGCTGAATTTTGTCCCCTCCAAAAATTCCTGTGTTGAAGTTCTAATTCCCAGTCCTTACAAATGTGACTATTTGGAGATAGGGCCCTTAAAGTGGTAAATAAGGTACAAGGAGGTCACTAGGGTGGGCCCTAATCCAATATGACTGAGGTTCTTATAAAAAGAGATTATGACACAGATACATAACAGAGAAAAGACCCTGAGAAGACATGGAGAAGACGTGCAAGCCAAGGAGAGAGGCCTCAGAAGAAACCAACCCTGCTCCTGCTGACGCCTTGATCTCTGGCTTCCAGCTTCCAGAGCTGTGAGAAAATAAGATTTCTATTACATGTTGCAAAATTGTAATTTCCTCTATTGGTCAGTTTTT